TAGGGTTGCTATGAGTCGGAATCAACTCAACGGCAAGGGGTTACAGGTTTTACTGTGCGCAGAGCCTGCAGTGCTGAGCATGGAGACACTGCCAGGAATGAATGGAACACTAGATGCTCCCAGTCTAGTGGTGGGAGTGGGTGGGGAGGGTGCGCAAACCAGCTTCACCACACAGTGAGATGGGAGCTCTAATGGGGGCTGGGTGGGGACGGAGGAGCCCCTGGGTGGAGCAACAACAGTTAGCTCTTCGCTACTAGCCTAAAGGTTGGAGGTTTGAATCCGCCCAGAGGCACTTTAGAAGAAAGGCCTGGGCATCTTCTTCTGAAAAATCAGCCACTGAAAACCCTACGGAGCACAGCTCTACTCTGACACACCTGGGTTGCCATGAGTTGGAATTGACTTGATGGCAACTGGTTTTGGCAGGGATGGTGACCCCCTTGCTGGGAGCCCATGGGAAATAGAGGGGAGATGTTCAGCCTAAAGCCCAGGTCAGAGCTCTGGGCAGGAGATCCGTAACAGTTGCATCTAGAAGTCAAATGTGTGGACTCCAGGGCGAGGCTGCCTGGGTTCAAGTCCCTGCTTTGCTACTTACTGGCAAGTTACTTCACCTCTCTAGGCCTCAGGCTCCTAGCCTATAAAATGGAAATAATTAAAGTATCCACGTCACAGGGTGGTTGTGCTGTGAGGATTAAATTAGTTAACTTTGGGTAAGACCTCTCAGAACACGGCCTGACCCATGCAATCTCCTTTAATGTTGGTATTACGACCCCGAAGTCGACCGTATGGACATTGGTAATTGAAGCTACTAGGGCTCTGTGTTCACTCAGGGAGAGTGGCGAGGACAGGGCTGAAAGTGGAGCCACCCTGGAGAAGAAAGAAGAGAGGGAGTGGACGCAGTCTGAGAGATCTGGGGAAGGGCAGCATGAAAATGGGGGTTGCCGTGAGGTGAGAGAGAGTTTGAGGAAGGAGGGAGTAGTCAAGCACCCAGTGGGGCCCAAACTAAACCCCCTCACTGAGTCATCCCCTCCCACCCCCTTCTCAGCTGTGTGGCCTTGGACAAGTCATTGGTCTTTCTGAGCCTCAGTTTCCTCCTCTGTAAAATGGGGAAATGGCTCCTG